AGAGCTGAAGTTTCGCTGCGAGGCGCGACATCTTGTCCTGAATAAGTTTCTCCAACGAGGTACCGAATCTTTCGTACCTCATATCATTGGCGCATATGGGAAGCGAAAAAGGGGAAGTCGGACCAACATATATATCGAAATACACGGTACTTTCGCAACAGTTCGCCGTTGAACTTCCGCATGCACGATGTGAGTTTTTTTACACGAGAACGAATTCTCCAGGGAAGAGACAATCTCGCACAATGCATGCGGGGATATTATGACATCATGTCGTGGGATGCATTTCCTGTTTAAAAGATTTAACTTTATATGCAGATTTTGTAACTCAAAAGCGAAATAAGTAGCAACAAATATTAATCGTAGAATGTAAGTGAATCGATTCTTATTGTATTATTATACATTGATTATTTCAAGTGCATTTGCGGATTTTTAACATATGTTTCTTCAATTAAAAAATATACTAAGCAAGTATAAAATCAGTATTATTAGGTTTGATAAATTAAATTTTCAGCGTATATAGATATGATAAAACAAACTTTACATTAAACATTGATTATATTTAATTACAATATATTTAATTCTAAATATTATTAAGAGGATCCTAAAGTGATGGAATTACAGCTCAGAATATTCTCCGAATTAGCTGTACAGATTATAAAATCCTTTTATACAATTGAAATACGTATAAAAAAGATAAGAGACGATTGATTTAACGAGAAAATGGAATAAAAGTTAAAAAATTACATTTAGTGTAACTAATTTTTTAACTTTTCTCTCATTAAATCAACCGTCTCGCATCTTTTATATTTTAGTATTTTGTCGCATTAATATAATTGTTACAAAATGTATTTGGACACGGAAAAAAATTTTACTAAAGATCTAAAAATTTGGTTAGATACAGATCTGAAAATAATTGTTGGGCTATCAAAATAATTATGTAGGATTCTCAAACTAGTTGTTAGAATATCAAAACTTTTTGCAGTATTGTTCATCATAAGATTTCTACGTAATTATTTTGATGATTCAACAAAATTTTCAAGTTTGTCTACCCAATTAAATTCTTAAATATTTCAGCAAAATTATTTTTTCTGTATAAAGAATTAAGGAAAAACACGAAAAACATGTAATTTTACATTATTAATGTAACTAGCTAATTTTCTATTATAAAATAACTGAAACAAAATATATACTGAAATGACGTGACATTGTGCAGGCTATAATGCTATTCTACCATTGTATTGTGTTATATCGATGCTACATACATATATAAATCGGATATTCTATACAAATGCGAGCTATTCAGATGAAAAAAAACGAACGTAGCGGAAAATACCATTTTTGTGGTCGCTTTTATTTTCTGTAAATGTCACAGTCTTTTATAGAATGCTGCATGCGACCGGCGCTTATTAAATGTTATCGGGCAAACGTCATTGAAAATAAAATGAACGTACCGCTTCCGCGCCGGAATATATACCACCGGCCTTTTCAAAATAAACGAATATGAGGTGAACCGAGCTCCGGTAGCTTAACAATACAGAGGGTCGACAGATGCGAATAACATTTAACGAAAAATGTCAAGGGGCTAATACACAGCCTAACAAAAGTGATTACGATATCGTCATATCTAACACGCGCGTACAAGCTTTGATAAATGCCGCTGTGCTAAAATCGAAATTTTTATATGTTCCGCAATCCACATTTCCCCGCGCGCGCGTTCCTCTGCGATTTATTAAATTCACGCTGCTGGCAACCGGTCAAATCGTATACGGAATTGAATGCGCGCGCGTTAATTTTGTTTCGCGTACAAATGGCTTTCCTTTATTTTCACAAATTGCGAATGTACGTATGTACGTACGTATACTTCGACAGATGGAAAAGGGATTACCTCACATTGTGTGTCAAAATGTTTTATCGATGTCGACAACGGAATTTTTATCAGCATGACTAATGGATTTCGTCTGAAATTTAAGTTTAGTTACGAGAAACATTTTCGGGAGAAGGATTCCGATAGATATTACATCGTTAACAATGGATGCTGTAATATTGTGTGTACTTCAGCTTCGTATTACGTGTGATATTTCGGTTTACCGCAGCATAGTTGATTACCTATCTCGGAATAACTCTGGTTTACCACTGCATAGTTGATTGGCTATATCGAAATAACGCGAGTTTATCAATTCAATGCATTAAAGCAGCACACGCGTTACATGTCACGTTCGCTATTATTGTCTAATGTTATGATAAGAAGTTTTCCGAGGCCATCACTATGTCGGCGAATTCATGAACATTCTTCGCACCGGTCCACGACAACATCTGCCAACCATTTCTTCAAGTCATCTATCTACTTTGCACCGCGTTTCACATATTAAACTTCAGTTCACTTCAGCAGAAGAAAATCACTAAAAAATCTATGGGCAGCATTCGTCTTTCATATTACATCGAGCGCAAATATTTTATATCTCTTCGCGTACGAAAGCGTACATCCGCAACGTGGAAACGAGATCTCTGAAATTTCTATCGAATGCTCCAAATTTCCCGCGCTACGTTTCATATACGAATTCTTTGATCACTTAGTGTGTTCAATTGATTTTAATATTTTGAGTGCTAGTGTTTTTTTTCTATCGACAGTTTCGATAATTTAATAAATTTTTCAAATCTTTTTTCTTAAGAAATTGGTAATTTAATTTCTATCTTTCAACATGAAGTGCAGAAATACATAAAAGCCATATTACATTTTAAAATAATATAAAATGTTCAACAAAAAGATCCGAATGTTTTAGATGTATATAATTAAAAACGTAACATTTAGAAAGAAAAAAGATGCTCGCAATATAAAATAAAAGCCTAGACTTTGGTAGATCGTATCAATTTATTGTAAATACTATCTGATCGTGCAATAGTGAAAAATGAAATATGCCATTTATTAGCCAATAAACTACATACAATATGGTACATAATAGCAAACAATAGGATTCACATACAGCGCCGTTTGTTTTTTCTAAAAGCAGGGAATATCGTATCATAAGCAAGATATACAATGGACAAAAAATGGCGTACAATGGGGCTTACGTACTCGTCCTGTTTTCCCAGGACGAATTGCACAATACGCAAAAATCCACTAGGTATTTTCCCGACCGTCGGGCGAACGAAAGTATCCAATCACCCGTATTTTGAGCAGAATCCATTGAAGAGTCAGATTCAAAACACCAGGATATAGATTATCGGTGGACGATACTTTTCGATTCCGCGAGGTACGAATGTGATCATAAAATTGGGGTTGCCAATGGGGACACTGGTAACGTGCATTGCATCAATGCAATCTATTGGTATATACTGCTGCAGATTCAAAGCTAGGCTTTAACTAGTTCTTGGCGCATAATATAGGATTGTAAAATATGATAATAATTAACAAAATTTATTAAAATTACATTATACTTATAAAATAACTATGTGTATTTTTAAAAGATACGTTATATACGCGCGCCATTCCATAATTTATTGAGTTTTTTATAGAGATTATTTGTTATGAAGATATTATTTTAATGACCGAACAAAACTTGCAACTGGATTATATATAATAGAGCCCATCTTCTATAATTCTTTTATTCTATGAAAAAGAATATTTAAACCAAAAATTTTACTTAGTTATATCCCTGAAAAATAAATGCTCTTTATAAAGAATCAATAAATAATTGACAAATTAAAGAATAAAAGAGTTATTATAGAAGATGGGCTCTATATACGTAGTATACATAATCCAGTTGGGAGTTTTATTCGGTCATTAAAATAATATCTTCATAAGAAATAATCTCTAAAAAAAACTCAATAAATTATGGAATTGTATTGCACGCATATAAATCGTTAATTAAATAAATAAAAAATTAAAAAATTTAAACTTTTTAAGTATTATTGACATTTTCAGAAATATGCGGTAAGCGCGATTTTTTCTTTTTTTAATTCGAAGCACTATTTTGTAAATCTGTATGTCCGATTTATTCAGACTATTGTGAATTATTTTGCATCCACGTAAGATCCACAGGGAAAACGTGAAATCGTCGGAATTGCACTAGCGACTCGGCACGTATACTTGGCGACGAAAGTTAGAGCGCCGGCGGGTAGACCGGGCAAAGGGTGAAAGGACGGGTCAGCCGGCCGGAAGGTAATGGGAGCGTAGGTTATACCCGTGGCCGCTCAATTAAATCTCGTCGACGTCGCGTGCAGGAAAGCGAGCGCAGCATGCACCGGAGGCTTCCTTACCGATTTCGAGTGGGTGGACCCTGCTCTCAGAATTTATTAGTCCGTGCGACCGACCGACTAATTTCGACTCGGTTAGCTCGAGCGTGTGTTGGTTGATCATAGAATCATCAAGATCAAGTCATGAATTACGAAAAGCATGAAAAAGCAATCATTCTGTCATTATCATCTTCCCGTCCAATAATTTTTTTTATTAAATCGCATCAACCAAGTTTGGTATATATAATTATCAACACGTTACAAAGGATATTCTAGACACTTGCTAACGAGGTTGTCTATAGAGATATTGTATATCGAGAAACCTGATCTAATTCTAATCAAATATAATCTAACTTGAACTAAACGGATTTGATCCAATGTGCGCTAATCTTGAATATTCGCTACGTTCGAAGTTTAATTCGAATTATCATTCAAGTTAGTTAGATAAATTGAATACAGTGTATATATAAGTGTTGAGTATTAAACTCAAAAAAGTTCAGAGAAATATTAAAGTTATATGCAAAATTTTCAAAACTTTTCCCATTTTAACATAATGACATTTATGGTCATTCATGTCACACATTTATGACATTTATGTCTCGACTTGATTGGACTAAATATAATGATATGTATTCGTTATCGAGAAATTCTCTCGAGTTATAAAACCGAATCCAAGAAAACGGAAAAAGGAATTTATAAAACTTATAAGAACAAAAGTTTTTAGGTTAATATATGAAAACAAATAGAAACAAAATTTTTATAGTTACCTCTTTCAGGCACGGGTTCGCGCATACCCGAAAGAAGCTGGAGTTCGCTTTGTTTTGAGTAGACGCCAGGTATCTCCGCGGTGCAACGTAGATTCAAACGACCGTTCGTGTAATGGAATGGCTGAAGGGTGAGACTGATCTCGCTCCACTGCATTCCCTCATCTTCCTTCGTCCGCTGTTGCCTCGTGGTCGCCTTCAACTGCAATAAATCAAGCATGAGTTGGAGAACGTGTGAACGTCACGAGAAAAGGAATTCGCGAACGTTAAAGGGTAGGCAAGATGGTTACGGTAAGGGTCCCGTAGAAGGAGAGAGCGAGAGCGAGAGAGAGAGAGAGAGAGAGAAGAGGAAATGTAAATCTGCTTTCAACGAAATGCGTTCATCCGGAATCGGAAGGAGGTGAATTCTGCCCTATCCCTTCCACCCCGCCTTTTCGTCATCCCGCACGTTCAACGGCGTACCACGCTAAAGACGAGGGTTTCCACTTCGATGGAAAGTTGGAGAACCCGCTAACGTTCCTGTCATCGTGTTCTCCCGATTAATGTCCCTCCATTCCCCCCTTTTTTTTTTCTTGCGTGAAATCGCTTCTCAAGCCGCGGCGGCAAAGAGCGAGCCCGTCGAAAGTATTGGCCGGAATGGCCGAGTTCCGGCTTTCTTAATGGATCATTATCGTCGCGGAAGTCGTGATAGCGTCGAAAGTAAGTTATTCGAGTGAATCATACGGTAGAGTGATTTGTAAGCGAATTGTAAGAAGTTTGTCTAAACTTTCATCAATGTAGACGACGACAGACTGATGTAGATTGAAGTGTAGATATATAGATCGTCTCTGATATTACATATGATGTTTTACAAAATATAATCTTTATAAAGCATTTCATATTAATAAATCGTAATTGATATATTGAAATAGAAAAAATAAATATTCTTCAAAGACACATTAGTCACAACTTATAAAATAATTCAGTAATAAAAGCTGAAATAACAATTCTGATAAAATTATTTACTCTCTTATTTAATTATTTTTAAATTTACTTATTTATTTTCTATTCAAATGTCAGTTGAATTATAATAATCTTGTGCTTAATAGTTTCTTAAGTGATAATAATCTCAGTAATAACATAATTCTCGATTCAAAGCGTTATATGCGCACCTGATGCCAACATGCTTCTAGAAGATAGTTGTTGCGAAGTTTAACAGCATTCGCGTCGAACCAACGGTAAATTACACAGAACATCTCGTATTATATAGATTATTAAGCCAACAGACTGTAGAATACGTATTAACATTTCAATCTCGAACATTATGTATGTTCGGAATTGCTTGGACAGTCGAAATAAAACAATAAATATTTCTGTACGCTTATTCATTTCTGACAACAAATAGAAAAAAGAATACTTAGAAATGCAAAGACATTTGATTTGACGTAATTACGAGAGTAGTACAGCAGAGAGTTTCCAATTTATCTTCTCAAATAACGATCAGTACTAGGCAGTAATGAATTGGATAGAAGATGACTTCTAATCGCGGCCAATCAAGCGAAACCTAACAAAATTAATTGAGTGAACTTCGTAATAGAGCAACTACAATGTATGAATGATATTATAAAAATATAATAATCCACGATAAAAATATAATAATCCTCCTTAAACTTTAAATTAATTTAACTTTGTTAAAAAGTTTTTCAAAGGCGAACTAAGTATAAAAGAAGAGACTTCCCACTGTTTCATCATCATGTCATAAAGTTCACTTTTCAATTAAATATGCATGGCATGTATAATTTTTTATTACAGTCTGTGTATTATTACAGTCATAAGTAAAAAGTGAAAATCGACGCAAATATTTATGTGTATATTATTTATACGTTTGACATGTCAAGTTTAATGCTAGTTGCAACAAAGAATATCGGTGAAAACATGCGAATATTATAGGAGCGCTTGCTGACTTCACATTTTCTCAACTGAGGAATTATGCAATTCGCGCGATCCAGTGTGATATATGGCGGAATGCACAAAAAAGAATCTCGACCAATGATTAATGGCCAAGTAGCATTGATACTTATCCTCCGATGCGCTAAGAGTGCGTCCAGCCGAATATAAATTCCGCTTTTTAAACAGCTACCCGTGAAATTCAATCTCAGTGGGGAGCGAAAGTGATTACAGCGGTTGAATACAGATTATGAGAAGGCGGTCGCTACGTCATATTTAAGCGCTCCGGATTTTCTTTGTAAGCATCCAAAGGAAGGCTATATTCTCTTTTTCCACCGGCACACTTTCGTGTCCTGTGCGATGAAAAAATTAAAAAATAAAAAAGAAGACGTTTGAGTATACCTAACGGATCGTGAAATTTTCTATTATGAGATTAAATGTGCTAGTCTTATCGAAGAAAAGATCCACTCTAATATTATCGTCGCTGTAATCAAAGCTTTGATACGACGCCATCTTTTCAATATAAGATCTAATAATATTCTGACGCGAGTTTGAAAGAAAATTTGACTGATCTTGCACAAGGTTGCAAAAAGTCGACGATGTTCCAATTTGTTCTTAAATCAAACTGCATGATTCGACGAATCAATGATTTGTAAGTTCGTAAAATCTCGCTAAAAACTTTCCTCTCGATCTTTTAATTGCTTACTTTCGTTAAAAGTTTCATGGATGCACTTTTTTTAAGCCGCGTACTTTTTTATTTCAAGATTCTTTAGCAAATTTGAAGTTAATTCTTTAACGATCAAGATTTTTTCAGAAGAAAGAAGAATTTTTCTTTTAATTTTCGATATTAAATCTTTTTGATATAGCTAAGTCTCAAATTAATATAAATTAACAAAAATATATTAATAAAATTATATAATTACAAGTTTAAAATTACATTAGAGTTAAGTTTACTTAAAAAATTAAACAGACGTTATTAGTACATTTGCTTTTTTTCGAAGTTTAATTAAAAGAAAAATTCTTTAAGTTCATTAAAACCATAATCTAAGCTAAAATAGATTTTATATATTTATATTTTTTATAAAATTATAGTTTAATAAACACATTCATCATAATTAGATAATTATAATAATCTTCAAAGATACATTTTATGAAAATAATTTGCTTAAGTATTTAATAAACAAAAATATTTGTAGTAAATAAATGTTGCAAATATTATCTAGAGGAATTTAGAAAATAGATATATAAAATTTATCTTATATCAAGAATGCGGAGATAGAAACGCTAATGATGTTTATTTCGCATGCTCAATTACATTCTTTAGAATTTCCGCAGTCCCGCAAAACCTACATAGGTTAAGATACATGTAACTAATACATGTAACATCACGTGTAATCTAAGTTAAGTAATCTAAGTTAAGTAAATTAAGCAAGTGAGAAATTTGAAATTAAAGTGAACGTATATAGAATACTTTTGATAAGATCACGGGAAAGTTTACAGTTTATAGTTTACAGCAAACAATTAAGTGAAAATATATCATCGTGACATAAATCATATTTATTTCAATTCTCTTAAAATAGAATATTTGAAGACATACAATAATAAATTTTAAATATATTTTATCACAATGATATCTCTTTCGGAAATCTTACAACATACAAAATGTTATATCTTAGTTATTTTTTAGATTATAAATGAATCATGACGAAAGTAAAATTCTCAGCAAGATTACAGTTTTATTTAAGAGAGATTTACTTAAAATTGACTAAGAAATACGTTTATTTATTTTTATTCTTGCAGAAGCTTAATTTTATCCCGATCTTTTAATCTTTAATATTAATCTCTAAATTAGATCGCACTTTTTAATCTCAAAAGAAAAATTATTTTCACATTCATCAGAGAGAGAGAGAGAGAGAGAGAGAGAGAGAGAGAGAGAGAGAGAGAGAGAGAGAGAGAGAGAAATACTATTAGACCGTTGATTCAAAGAAAGCTTTTTCTGCAGAACAGCTTGCATTTTCTAATTTCATTATTCGTCATCTGAAAATGGAATTCTTTCTTTTCTTGCTATTCAAGGCGCAGATTACCAGAAATATAGCAGGAAACCCGCTGTGCAGCAGGCCATTACAGAGCTCTGCACGGTGCGAACACGACCGAGATATGAAATCTCAGTAATGCACATTTAATTGCATGTGTAGTACTTGTTGAATCGATGCGCGCATGTATCTGAAAACCAATATATTCGATTGATATCACGAACATGAAATCCGATTGATATCGAGAAAATACGACTATCTCCGTGGGGACTGAAGTAATGTGAAAATAGATAAAAAACATCTTCGATGTACAGATTAAATGAAATTTTTATAAAAAATTATCTGAAATAGATATATTTTATCTACAAAAAAAACCTGTTTTTATAATAAGCTCTTCATATTTTAATCACAAATAAATGTGCGAGAGACTTCATAAGAATATAAATGGCAAAAAAAATTACTTTTTGCATAACACTCTATTGGACGAGATCATGAACAAGATAAAAAGCATACGGATTAAATTCTCATACAGTTTAATTAATTAAAAAAATTGTGGAAACATTTGGAATTTTACGCGGCGATCGAAGAGAATTGATGAAAAGTTAGAGAATGGATGGCTTACAGAACGACAGACGCGACGTTGATAACGACGACGACTGCAATGTAATTACATGAATGACTGTTGACGAATGACATGGTTTTACGATGCACCGTGATAAGACAGTAAGTGTGTGTGTGTACTTATCATAATCATAGGGTGTTATACACCCTATGGCGCACTGCGCCGCGTGTGCGTCGCGTGCGGGCGGCTTACCCTAAACACCCTGCGCAATGCCCAACAATACACAATACCGCGTCGCGCGTGCTTAAATGTGCCTCGAAATCCACTGCAGTTCTAGGCGCATGCATCGTATTTAAGGGCGTAGCCATGCTAAACCTCTGCGACGAGACGCGGGTTTATGCGCGTGAATATGTCGGCGCGATGTGACACGAGAACGGGATACTTTTGACCTCGGTTATTCTGTGTGAACCTCACAAGTCTCTCCCAGGCACCTTTGAAGTGTCGCGCGGTTTTCGGTGTAACCGCCCGCTTATGAAATATAACCCTCAACCGCGCTCGCGTAGGTTGACTCATTTACCCGGGGACTCGAAATGGGGTATTACGAGAAGTCTCTTGTCCGTTACGCCAGCTGCGTACTACTTCCCCTTTCTTTTCCGGAACAATAGTTCCATGATCTTTTGT